AGAATGAAGTTGGAGAGACTAATCTCAAAACCCTAAACTCAGAGCTCTTCCTCAATCACTACATCTTCTTTTCTGTATCAAAAAGAACAAACCAGCAGTAACCAATGAACTCACAAAAATGAAGCCCTACCAGGGTACCTGGGTGGCTCAGTTCATTAAGCGTCCGCCTTCTGCTCAGGTTATGATCTCTGGATCCTGGGATGGAGCCCCGCACAAGGATTCCTGCTCAGTGGGAAGTATGCCTCTCATTCTCGTTCTCTCTCTCTCCTCCTCTGCCCCACCCAACCGCTCATTCTCTCTCCCAAATAAAATCTTAAAAAAAAAAAAAAAAAAGAAGCAGCCCACCACAGCCAACAAAAAGAATACCGAAATTTCCATTTCTAAATCCCAAGTTTTAGCAAGGCATTAAAAGCACAACTGTAGGGACGTCTGGAGGACTCCGTCAGTTAACTATCACACTTTTGATTTCAGCTCAGGTCATGATCTTGGGGCCATGAGGTCATGGGATTAAGCCCCAAGTCAGGTTCCTCTGGGTGTGGAACCTGCTAGAGATTCTCTCTCTCCCTCTGCTCCCCAATTCACAACTCACACATGCACATATGTGCATGCTCTCTTTCTCTCTCAAAAAAAAGGGGGGGGAGGGACAACTATAAATGAAGTCTATAATAATGCCAATTAACTTTTTGCTGTGTACTTCTGTAAATATGAGCATAAGTTAAAATTTGCCTAAACCTGAAGCCTACGTAAAAGATTATGAGGCACAAATGTAAAAAGAAAAAAAAAAAAAAAGTTAAGAACGTGTTCAGAAAAAAAAAGTTAAGAACTTATTCAGAACTCCCCCACCTGTCTTTAAATATTTTAAAGGTAGGGTGCTTGGGGCGCCTGGGTGGCTCTGTGGGTTAAAGCCTCTGCCTTTGGCTCAGGTCATGATCTCAGGGTCCTGGGATGGAGCCCAGCTTTGGGCTCTCTGCTCAGCAGGGAGCCTGCCTCCCCCTCTCTCTCTGCCTGCCTTTCTGCCTACTTGTGATCTCTGTCTGTCAAATAAATAAAACCTTCAAAAAAAAAAAAAAAATTTATGGGCGCCTAGGTGGCTTAGTGGGTTAGAGCCTCTCCTTTCCACTTGGGTCATGATCCCAGGGTCCTGAGATCAAGTTCCACACTGGGCTCCATGGTCAGCAGAGATTCTGCTTGTCCCTCTTCCATCTACCCCTCCCACACCTCATGCTTTCTTATAATAATAAAATAAAACCTTTTTAAAAATGTTTTTTAAAAGTAAGAATTCCCCTCAAATCTGTATATTTAAATACAAAGCTAAATAACAAATAAATATGTGGATAGAAAGCACATTTTATGCTTTCTAAAGGTACTTTGAAACTGATCTTAAGATTTCCATGGACCTCATAGGTAAGACTGATGCTTTCTGTGTACCCTAAGCTACTTAAACCTAAACCCCACCATTTTTCCTCTCTGCTATCAGGTCAACTGTCAAAAAACATGACTAACAGCAAACAATACAAAGAAATAATAGAAGTTGGGGTGCCTCAATGGCTCCGTCGGTTAAGTGTCTGCCTTTGGCTCAGGTCAGGATCCCAGGATCCTGGGATTGAGACTTTCATTGGCGTTCCCTGCTCAATGGGGAGCCCGCTTCTCCCTCTTCCTCTGCCCCTCACTTGTGCACAGGCACGTGCACTCTTTCTCTCTCAAATAAAATCTTAAGAGAGAAAGAAAGAAAGAAGAAATGAAAAGAGACGGAGGGAGGGAGAATGAATGAACAGACCAATCAACAAATATTTAAACCACCGGTTGGTCAAAGGATGGTCTGTGAACCAAAAGACCAAAGCTATTTTCATAGTATTTGCCTTTTCCACCGTGCTGACATTTGCATGATGATACAATATCAATGGCCCAAAAAATGCTGAGGTCTTAGCATAAATCCAGGCAAGTCGTATAAGACTGTACCATGGCCACTGCGTTCTTTACCACCACCTACTTGTAATTTTTTTAATAGAGGACTAGTCCTTGATGAAGAAGCAGTAAAAATTATTAGTTTTATCTCAGCCCTGAGTACACTTCATTTAATATTTGGTGTCACAAAATGGGAAGCACACATAAAACACTTCTACCGCATAATGCAGTACAATGCCTGTCTTGTCTAAATTGTGAGCTGAAGTTTTATCACAGAACACCATTTTCATTCGAGAGATAGGCTGACAAACTATGGTTATTTCAACCTGAATATGTGGCAGACATCTTCTAAAAAATGAGTAAGACTTAGACTTCAAGAAAAGCAAGTGACCGTACTGATAAAATTTGAGTTTTCAGAAAAAATGTGAATTGTGGAAAACCTTTATTTTTACCATGAACTCATTAATGTCCCAGTACTTAAAAGACACTTTTGATATAATCAATGGTGATATTAAAGAATGTGAACTGTTGCTGTATCATCATTTGGAAGAGCTGAATAACTCCCTTAAGCTGCATTTTCTAAATGCCCAATATACCAAGTTACAAAATCAAGCATAAATAAAATAATCACAGCACAAGACAGACCAAAAGATCAGAGCTGAAAAAAAACACAGATATGGTTTCAAATGTCATAATACAAATAACTTTAAAGAAGCTGGTACTCAATGTTTTGGCCTATTATCAAAGAAGAATGGACATACAATTACCTGAAAAGGCTACAAATATTCTATTTCTAACTACATACTGGTGTGATGGCAAATTTTCTTCACATACTTTAACCAAAATAACAAACAACAAGAAATGCAATACAGAGGAAAATGCAAGAATTCAGCTGTCATCTACTAAGCCACACATTAAAGACACTTATATCTGTAAAAATATAAAACAAGCCACTAAAAAATTTTTCACTAAAAAGGTTTTTGGAGATTTTGGAAAACACAGTTACATTTTAAAATTTTACATTAAGGGGGCACTTGCATGCCTCACATGGTTAAGGTCTGCCTTCAGCTTAGGTCGTGATCTCCAGGTCCTGGGACTAAGCCCCATGTCCAGCTCCCGACTCAGCAGGGAGTCTCCTTCTCCCTCTCCCTCGCTTCTACCCCTGCTTCTGCTCTCTCCGTCTCTATCTCAAATGAATAAATAAAATCTTTTAAAAATAAATAAATAAATAAAATTTTTACACTAACATGTAATAGGTTTATTGCTACTTTATAAATATATATAAATTTCTCAGTTTTAATTCCTAATATAGTAAATACCAATAATTACAACCCACGAAAAGAAAAGTTCTTTGGGTCCTAAATAATTTTTAAGTGTAAAAGGGGGTTATAAGATCAAGTCTGAGAACTGCTGATCTAAAACTAACAAAGGAGGAGGAATTTATCAGTCAAAAAACTGTTAGGTAAAACAAAGAAAAAAAAAATACATAAAAACAAAAAGAAAAAGCCTCTTAAGTAGCTGTACATAAGCATCTTCCCAACTACAAGTCTACAAAGAAACACTTCCAGTGCCTCAAACATGCTGTTTTTAATTTACAACATGGTAAATGCCCAGTGGTATAATCAACATTAACAAAGGTCTTTGGAGTCAATAATTTTTAAGAATGTAACATTTGAAAACAAGAAGTTTGAGAATGGCTATTTTAAACCATCACTAAAGGTTTATTTCCCTAGGGTCTAACATATTTTCCCACAGCTATTTGTGAAAAGAAATAGATACCTAATACTATGTTCATGAACTACCTCTCAGAAAAACTCAAAAAAATAGAACATTAAAAAACTACCAAAAGTTCAATCTCCAGTATCCACTAATTTCATAAAACAAATTTATACACAGCTCCCTATATGCTAGGGCTTGTGCATTCTAGGGCTATTTTTCCCTATTTTTCTTTCACTTGTGCATTCTAGGGCTATTTTTCCCTATTTTTCTTTCATCCATGGTGGGCAATCAATGTATTTTTTTTTTTTTTACTTCCATGCAATCAATCATCCAAAACCTCTACCTGCTGCTCCCCCACTGCTTGTGCACTTGCTTGCTCTCTGACAAATAAATAAAATCTTAATAAATAAATAAAGCTTCCTAAACAGTGTATCCAATGACTCCACCTATGCACTAAGACAGTGCCTCCACCCTAACACATTTATGAAGTTTACACAGTATGCCATGTGAATATTATCCCTTCCTACATGAAAAGATTGGGAAGAACTATCTTAATGTATCGGAGTTCTCTCCTTACAGCCTAACAACCTAGTTCTAGCCCAGAAGTTGGAAATACAAGTCAATTCAACCACACTATCATTCCATTTCCAAAGGTTCTTAAATTTCACCCAACTCAACTAAAACATACTAAAAATACAAAAACAAATTTTAAGAATAAATGTAAGAGGTTTTCTTTTGAAAAAGAAGTCTAAATACTAGGGGCACCTGGATGGCTCAGTTGGTTGAGCATCTGTCTGCCTTGGGCTCGGGTCATGATCTTGGGGTTCTGGGATCAAGCCTCATGTCAGGCTCCTGCTCAGTGGGAAGTCAGCTTCTCCCTCTCCCCCTGTTGCGCTCCCCCCGCTTGCGTTCGCTCACCCTGTCTCTCTCAAATACATAAAATCTTTTTAAAAAGGGTGGGGGGGGGAGAAATATAAAGGCTAATACCTAAAATTTTCTTAGCAGGTTTGCTTAAAATTTTCTCATTGCTCTTTTTTTACACACACATCAATCTTTTTTTTTTAAGATTTGAGAGAGAGTAAGCAAGCGAGAGAAAGAGAGAGCGAGTGCATGCATGAGCAGGGGGAGTGCAACAGAGAGATAGAGAGCAGCAGATTTCCCACTGAGCAGGGAGCCCAATGCAGGGCTCCATCTCAGGACCCCGGGATCATAACCTGAGCCGAAGGCAGATGCTTAACTGACTGAGCTACACAGATGCCTCCACACACAAACTAATCTTTCACACACTATTACAATTTGCATGATTCAGAGCTTCAGTGAATCTACATCTAGAATAAAATGTTCAAAAGCTAAAGTTCTTTCAACTGAAATACTACCTTGTTGATGCTGTAACACTACTTGGCTCCAGTATGTTCTCAGTCATCCTTAATTGTACCACCTCTGCCATGTCACTTGATTTTTCTGCACCCTCTTCTGGAAGTTCTTCTATATGTTCCAGCTTTTCATCTTCCTCTTCTTCCTCAGAAAGTTCATTAACCTATATAAATAAGAGGAAATTGAAAATCAAAATTTAATGTAACTGTTAATTGGCATTATCTAAGATATACTATTCTAAGAAAATTTTAACACAACTCATTTTTTACTTCACTTCCTAGGACCAATTTTCCTAACAGACTAAGCAATTGCCACTCTCCCTTATTAGAAGAAAACCGCAAACCAAACTTAACATTTTAAAGCACAAACTTATGATTACCTTAGTATATCACTAGGAATATGAGTAAGAATGTAAACAATGAAAACCCTGCACACTGCAGTTAGTTAACATTAAAAAAATCTTCATTTCCTACCAATCAGTTTTATAGACTAAATAGTTATGAAGACTTCCAACTAACCTCTCCAATTTCCAGGTGCATTTAGCAAGTGATTTTAATATAGTGTAAGTGCTGGAAAAGGCAGAGAAATTTTGCCTTAAGGTGTTAACTATGTTTTAGAAAATGTCAGCTAGGGGCACCTGTGTGGCTCAGTGGGTTAAAGCCTCTGCCTTAGGCTCAGGTCATGATCCCAGGGTCCTGGGATAGAGCCCTGCAAACCCTGCATCGGGCTCTCTGCTCAGAAGGGAGCCTCCTTCCCTTCCTCTCTCTCTGCCTGCCTTTCCACCTACTTGTGATCTCTGTCAAATAAAAAAAAAGAAAGAAAGAAAGAAAGAAAATGTCAGCTAACTTCTAAGGATTCAGATGGAATTTTTCATAAAGAGACTGGACCTTACAAGGGGGGACTCATTGTTTTGACCAGTAAACACAATTCAAGGCTATAATTTTCTTTCTGGCAGGGGCTATAAAATGTCTTCCATTATCAAACTGGCTACATAAGTAAACAATCATTCTAATAAAAAGACAATGAATATCGAAAAAGGAAAACCTCCACAAAATATTTCCAAATTGAGAAATAACTTGTCAAGCTATCCCAAAGAAGAAACTAGCCATAAAATATCTTAACATCTTTTATAATTTAATACTAGTCATTGAAAACACAGAGCAGTAAAAGTATACCTTTATCCATTCTAGCCAAATGCACTAGAAATACCTAAAATAAATTTATCACTGTGTGTAAGAGAGGTACTCTTTCCCGACAGTCAAAACACAGTTGCTAGAATACCCTCAGAAAGTAAACTTTAACCAGAAGATAGGTAATTTCTCCATGGCATTCTAGCACACTTGTAATCAACAAGTATAGACTGCCTGCTTTCAAGTGTAACACAGTAAGTACTTAAAAGCCAGACTCTGAAGGCAGAAAGATATATATTTCACATTCCTACTGTGCCCTTAACTATCCCTCAACTTACTTAACTTCTCCAAGCCTATGAATAAAATGGAGATGCTATACATACTACCTACCTTATAAGGCTAGTTGAAAGGATTAAATAATATATGCAAACTCTTCTATAGTGTCTATACATACTAAGCAATAAAATAATAGCTATCATTTTAACTGGAATTGTTACTTCTATATAGCGTAGAGCCTAGTTTCTACATTTAACATCACTTCTTTTTTGAGACAGACAGTATTTGCCACCAAACTAAAGCAGGAGCTCTCAACCACTGTGTATCAAGGTCACTAGTCATCTGGGTCACTAAAAATTCATTACTAATAAAAATACTTAAAGACCTCAATTTGTGAACCATTTACTTCATATATATAAAGCATATGCAGCATATTCAGCTAAATTTGCTGTGCTTCTAAATGCTAAACCTCGTCTATCCCCATCATGTTGAACAATGATGAAAATACTAAAAATCAGTAAATGATTATTAAATGAACGGTAAGATTTATATACAAAGGTCAAAATTTCATATGATAAATCAGTTTTTAAATGGAATCACATGGAAAATAACCTTCATTTTCCCCAGATGTATTTAATAAATTAATGAAATTCAAGAATATACTTAACATCTACCTGGTAACTCAAGCAGGAAAAAAAAATGGCAAGAAAATACTGTTTTCAGAGGTATTAAATGGGAATTACTGTGGCTGATCAATAAAGGTTTGGGTACCACAACAGTATATAAAAAAAAATTTTATTTAAGGTGGCTATTTAAGCTGAGAATAAATATTCATTCCACAAATTTTCAGTAGAGAGGTACTGCTATTTTAACATGCTACAGTAGATGTTTTAAAAACTAGTTTATACCTACAGTCAAGAGCTCTTAGGAATTACAAATACCTTATACTCAATTACTTTGAACACATTATATTCAATTCAATAAGCTTTATGTAAACCAACTCACATTGTTCAGTATTTTCACCAATAATCATTCAGTAAGATACAACACAAAAAGTAGCCTAATGGGATTTTCTTCCCGCCCTCCCCCCATCTCCCAGGCCTCCAAATATAACTTCCTATAGTAAGAAATGACTAAATTAGTTTGGGTAAGAATAAGTATTAAAAACTTTAAAATGCCCTCACCCCATACTTTGAAAATTCTCAATCCTCTCCTCATCAGCCTGACATTCTACTTATCAGTGCTCTATCTATTCCTAAATTATTCTGAACCTGCCCTACATATGCAACTGCCTCAACTCCACTCATGGAAAACCACTCACTCCACTTATGGAAAACCCTCATCCATACTTACATCTCTTCTTTCTTTGACTGCTGTAATTCCCTTCTCTAGGGCCTCGTGAAATGCCTGCTCTCCAGACTCCAGCTTGTGGAGAACGCTGCTACCTGCCTTCTCAAATGTATAAAGAAACATAATTATCACCTACATCTTCAAACCACTCTACTGAATTTGCATTCACGTAGGGATCCCATACAAAGAACCTGTCCACCAACTCTGGGTCATTTCTCAAACACTCCCTATTCATCATCGCCAGTCATCTCTCTCACACTATTAATAGAAATATATACCACCTTGAAAAGGCTCTAGCAGCAAAATACTTGCATCAGTGGGATGAAATTCCAACAGAACAGAGTCCTAGATTAACTTTACTTCCTTCAAATATCAAAATCAGAAGAAAAATAATCAGGGATGGCCCAGATCTACCCATATCTTTAAATACGGGGATAAGAAATTAGGGGATTTAAATATGAGGATTTAAATTAGGTCAATTTGAAAATACAACCAAAATGTGCTAAGTTTGAGGAAATTTTACTTTCACTCAATATCTATCACTTCAGCCTCACAAGTCAAATTGAAGTTATCAGAACTGCTTTAAAGAAAGCAAGCTTTCAGGTATCTGTCTACTACTGTAACCTACTTATAGTTCAGAAATGTGATTAAAATAGGTAAGAAACCAGATTCGGGTAATTAGCAATATGGGCCAAAATAATTAAATATACATCCCTGTCTCCTACAACTCACAGCACTACTCCATTTATTGAGTACATTCTACTCAATATACTAACATCCTCTTTTTTTTTTTTTTTTAAAGATTTTATTTATTTATTTGAGAAAGAGAGGGCAAAAGCAGCGGGAGGAGCAAAGGGATAGGTACACATAGACTTTGCAATGAGCACAGAGCCCAACATGGGGCTCGATCTCATGACCCTGAGATCCAGACCTGAGCCGAAATCAAGAACTGGACTCAACTGACTAAGCCACCCAGTGACCCCTAATATCCTCTTTTCTATCCATGGGCAAATTCACAGAATTCAACACTATGTCCTGGTGTTAATTAACCACTAATCTATTTAATTTAAAGCACAACATATGTTAAGTTTTCTTAACATTTTTTAGTGCTTAAAGAAATATAAAAACACAAATGCATTACATGTGAGTTATTCTACTGTATATCAGAGAATCACACAACATAAAACACAGTCAAGGCATACCCTGAAGACTTCAGAGTCATCAAGATATAAGTAGTAGGGCATATGTGCATCATTATTGTCTTACAAATCAAATCATCTTAGATATAGTGAGTAACACAAATGTATGCATATTATTTCATTTTGAGCAGCCATTAATTTTAACTAAATAAATCACTAAACTAAAATGTAATTTCTTTTTTTTAAGATTTTTTTTTTTTTAAGTAATTTCTATGCCTAACTTAGGGCTTGAATTTACAACCCCAAGATCAAGAGTCGTATGTTCTACCAAATGAGCTAGCCAGGCACCCCTCAACTAAAACTTTAGGGAAAGAAGTGACACACAATTCCCCAAAGATGGGATCTTATGGGCATCAAAAGACATTAATGGTTTAAGGAAAATCTCCTTGCCCTCTTCTTATCGTTTTCTATAAAGCAAGAATGATTTTGAAGAGATGTGTTACTTCTTTATTCTAACCAAGTTTTTAAGTCAGGAGCTGTATATGACAGAAGTTCAAAAAATATGGATCACTGATTCTGGCTACAAATTCTATCCACTTGGGTATACACATGCACACTGTTTTCATCCGCAGTTTAACACATTACAAACTGCAATTTGTCTTGTTACGGTTTCCTTAAAAGTTCCTGATACGTGAAAAAAAAGAGGAAGGTGGGGTGGGGAAAGAAAAGAAAAAGGGAGGAAGGGAAAGAGGGAGCGAAAATCAGACGATATAAATGCTTACAGGAAGAAAACATGGAAAACTAAAGAAGGTCTCAACTCCAAATATTAGAAAGACTTATCCAGAAAAGTCCCCAACAGTACAGAAACTCTTAAACAAAAGATGGGCTACCCAGAAAATAAAACTTCTAAGTTCACATTATCAGAACCAAGACCTGTAAGAACTAATGAAAATCTGTATGATAAACTACCTTTCAAGAGTTGCTGCTTCCTAATCTAAAAGCAAATGAAGAGAATCCACCCAATGTGCATCAATAAATAATTACCATATAATCAATCATCAAAACCTGGATACCTACAAGAGTGATAAGGGGAGCTACTAATAATTACATAAGGAGAGATAAACCAGGACTCTTCTGAAAAAAATGGGGCATACTATTACCTTTTCAAGTGGAGATCAAGTACAACAAATCAAATAAATCATAATATTGCATCCATACAACAGGGATCTATGCAGTAAAAACAAAAGAATATGCTCTCTCTACTCCAGTTAAGACTTCCCGATACACTGTTAACTGACTTAAAAAAAAAAAAAAAAGATGCAGAACAGTGTGTGCAGTATGCTACTTTCCTGTTTAAAAAACTAAGCAAATATTTACTTATATTTGCATAATGAAACTCTGGAAAAAATACATAGAAAACCAACGTGGGGGCAAAGGAGTGATTTGGGTAAACCAAGAAATTTTACTGTATATTTATTTTATTTTAACCAGGTGAATGATATACTCATTAAAAGAGCAACCACACTGCAGGCCCAAAATATAAGTAACTTCACAGGCTTTAACCTAATAAAAGTTTGACTAATTATTTCACTTAAGTGTAAAAGAAAAACCTCCACATAGACCTAAATTATAAATTCTAAACATGAAAAGTATGAATTAATGTGGTTTTACAATAAATTTATCAAATAAATAAATTTTTTACACTAAAAAATTTATTGTGCATCAATACTCTCATTTCATGAAGGAGAAAGTAACCAGGTTCTTGTACTATCTCAACCATCAAGGTACAGCAGAACAAAATATAATGCAGCCAAAGAAATCAATGTTAATTTTCCAAAGTCACAAAAGTTAAAAAACTACAGTGAGCTTCCCGATAATGAGAACGACTGCACTGTTCTACTGACCTGTGACTTTCATCAAGAATAACTTCCTATTTTTAAAAGTTTGTGTGAACTTTGTATTTAATCTATCCCTCTACCTTCTACTTCTCACCCTTTGCCTACATTCTTATGTGCAAAGTTTCTTTGCAAAAGCAAAAAAACCCCACCCATTCTTATAAAATAAACAATGCTTAAGTTAGAAGAAAAACACACAAACCCCACAAACTAACATATATTCTGCTTTCAATACCTTTTCTTTATTACTCAAATTGAGAACTTAAGAAAAAATACCATATTCATACATTACATGGATGTGTCACCCATGACTACATATAATAACCAAGTGAACTACTTTGTTCAGTACTTTAAAACTCCACCTGAGTTTATGCAAGCCCTTCAGAGCATATTCTCTAAAAATTCTCCCTCCAAGTAGAGTATTTTAAAATATTCTCACCTGTTCAGTAATTGAACTTAAATCATTAGATGAGAAATCTTCGTCTTCATTCTCAAAAAACTCATAGTAATTTTCCAGAAGTCCAGCCATTATCCTGCTCACTATTTCTTGCTCTTTCAGATCTTCCACATCTGTGTAAATGCTAAGAATAAAAGTCTACATTGAACTGAAAGTCCTTAAATCAAATACAGGTAAAATTAGAAGACAACCAATGAGTCATTTTAAAAATCTGAGCAATTTATATCATCATTCTGTGCCTCAGTTTTCCCATCTGTAAAGCCTACCTAATTTGTACCCTCTTCACAGAAATGCTCGGAGGGTTAATCAGATCTACTATAAAAAATAATGGTTCACCAGGCAACCTATGATCCTTGGCAGATAGTAAAATGACACTATTGCACAAAATTTTTTTTTTGATTACATAAAAATTTGTGGAAAAACTTACTGGAAGACATCTGGACCAAAGACAGCAGCCAAAGAGTTTGCAGACCAAATTTCTTCATGATGTGATGCTACATTGGCTAAAAATCTACACAGAAACTTTAACAAACTGTAATTAACAGGTGGAAGCTGCTGTAAAAGGAACCTCAACTTTCTTCCAAATTCATCTTCATTATTATAATCTATAAAAACATAATGACAGGTTTTTTTAATGAAGTAAAAGCAAAGCTCAGATATTTTGCCAGGTTCACATTACTCCACCCACATCACCTTTTTACTATTAACAATTCAAAACCTCTTCACTTCCTCTACCAGAGGCCAAATGGCTTAGAGCTTCACATTTCACTTATTAAGGGAAAGAGAAGAGTTGGAGAGAAGGAATTCAACCCCTCAATTGCTGAAGGTTGTTTTCCTCACCTATTACTCATTGGCCCAAATTCTCTATGTTTGTTTAATTCTCATCATACTGTCTCTTGCATGACTGTACCTGTATTTCCAAAGCAGTGCCAACCCTAAGAAGTCAAAATGCACTGGCCAATGCAAGTCAACAACTATGAGTGAACAAAGATTTAACCCACACCACGAAAACCTAACCCAACAAATACAAATCAGCTTTTTTTTTTTCTTTACTTGGCTTGAAGTTTGATGTCCAAATTGATATTTTATTTCCTTCAGGCAGGGGTCCAAGAACAAACTACAGATAGATTCTGAACCTGGAATCAAAGCTGTCTTCTGGTTTTTGCTAGGACATTCTATCAAACCAGGGATAAATAGTATCCTACAGCAACATCACCACTAAGGAACAGCACTATTATTGGATATTATGCCACACATACCACTTTATATGTATTTCTCTTCTTTCCCAACCTATTCCATGTTCTTGTGTCCTGCCTTTTCTTCTCCTTCTCCTCCTCCTCACCCTGTAGCTTAGGCTTCCTAAGACCAGTCATAAAAAGTAAACAAGACTACAGGTATCTAAGAAGTTGCCATCCCCTTGACTAGGCCATACAGACCCAAAGAGCATACGTCCTCCAAAGGGGAACATAAGAAGTGAATCTCAGAACTATTATAATTACTGTTTACATGTCAAGATTTCTACAAGATAAAAAGACTTTGAAATTAATGGTAAATGACTGATAGGTAAGAATCAAATTATACTACCTTGAGAAAGTTGCATCAAGTGAATATGCAAACTGCCAGGGATAACAGGTTCAGGGAGTTCTTGAAGGAAAAACCTAAGAAGACTAATAGCTGAGGGAACATCTGCTTCCTTAACCAAGTCCACCTCTTCTCCGCTGTCGTATCTCTGCCGAAGCCACTCCACTGTCTCAGCATTTCCATTGACTTGAAAAAGTCCTTGCTGCTCCAGACCTCCTACATTAGTTCAAAGTAAAAATTTAAAAAGCTTCAACTTCGACTACTTGGCCATATATATTCATTTTCCAACCAACTTAAAATACTCACTTTTGTTTGTTTGGTTTTTCTTAATTTTTTTTTTCAGTGTTCCAAGATTCATTATTTATGCACCACACCCAGTGCTCCAGGCAATATGCACCTTCCTTAATACCCACCACTAGGCTCACCCAACCCCCCAAACCCCTCCCCTCCAAAATAAAACCCTCAGTTTGTTTCTCAGAGTCCACAGTCTCTCATGGTTTGTCTCTCCTCCAATTTCTCCCCACTCACTTCTCCTCTCCATCTCCCAATGTCTTCTGTGTTATTCCTTATGCTCCACTAATGGCCAAAATACTCACTTTTGAAAAAACCTTGGCTCTCCTTACAGGGCTAAACACCTTCAAATCACACATTTTAGGAACATACTATCTCTGTTCTGAGGGATAATTTATTTTATCCACTCCACCTCCATTAAAAATATTCCATTACCACCCCACTAAACAACGCTATAAGCTGGGCATTTCTAAGTATATAACTTTACATAAGAAATCTCTACCATTTTTCGTTACTATATTTTGGACTTTCCATAGTGGAAAAAAAAGAAAAGAAAAAAAATCCGAGGTCAAAAGGGATAAACTGTTTAACAAAGGCCAGTCTCAAGGTAAGGAAATGTATACCATGTTCCTCAATATAGTCCACAACGTGGCGGACTATGAACGGAACCTCATTGTCTGGATGTCCTCCCTGCTGCAGCTCATCAAGTGGAATTCCAAATATTTTGTTAGCAAGAACGGAGTTGCAGTTACTCAAGGAAGGGGAGGAGCTCTTCCTCATATCTTTTTTGCAGCCAGAAATCAAAGCTGTCTTTTCTGCCAAATGAAAGACAAACAAACAAAGAGATTAATAATCAACAGGTGACAAGATGATTAAATACATTACAAAAAATGCCTTACACCTGAATTTGTTTTCATCATTACATATGTTCCAGTTCTCGGGCCCACAAGATAGATATTCTACAAATAAAGCTCAACACAATCATCCAAACATTTTCTCTATTATGTATAGTTTGCGCATTTATCAAACAATGGCACATCTATCATTAAATTTAACAAAGGACATTAATGTCCCAAAGACAAATTATGGGGCAGATGTGGCTCCAAGAGGACCTTTGCTGACCAAGCTTAATGACACAGGTAAAAAGCCAAACCCAATCATTTTTGTACTGTGCTATATGAAGCACATCTAACCTCTTAATTTATAAGCACCCAAAACAGGAGAGAATCACTTTTTATAAAGTATTAGGCTAATAATCACTTTTCATCAATGATGGGCTAGTAAGAACAAGATCAACCAGCTCTTATTCGACATGACAGAGCAGCCACAATGTTTTTATAAATGAAGGATATTTTTCAGTTCTAGACATCAACTTTCAAATGAGAATGTTCTTTCATCAATCCTGCTATTTCATTAATTATTTCAAAGAAAAATTTCCACAGCCAATCTCACTCAGAAGAAGTTTAAGTTATTTGTCTTAACTTTGTAGGAACAGTGATCAGTAAAGTACTGAGAGAAAACAATGTTTCAAATATCTGAAGCATCAGACAACAAGTAATCCCAAGAAAAATTTGTTTCCTAAAATATTTACTACTTTATGTGGGAGATGAGTATTTTCAAAAGATGTTAATGAACGAAATGACACCAACTGGGCTTTTTTTCATCACATCAGAGAAACCATTCCTTTCTCATGAGAAAGAACAGAGCAAAATAATAAATCTACTCAATATTCTAAAGTTTGCAAAAATAATCCTTATATAAATTACATAATAGTTGTACCCAGTTGATCAAGAGTGTCACAATGTGACTAGGAAACAATCCATTCAACTTGAAGAAATTAGGGGAAGCAAAACTGCCATAAATTTATATAGCTTTCAACAAGCAAGATCCATTCTTCAACATATGTGGGGCCAGGTAATAACTACAAAACCTCAAGTTAATAATCAAACAGCAGCAACAGCAGATCAACTCCAAAACTTCTGTGGATTTATATAGCATAGGAGTTACCATTGTGAAAACTTACCTTTGAGTACTTAAACACCTAAGTTTAAAAAATGGCTTCTGCACCAGCTACCCTCACTGAGCAAGCATTCTTTTGTCATTTATGGCTGTTTGAGATTATGGCAGAAGATCAGCCTGTAGTTCCTCATTGAAGAAACGCAGAACTCGATCAGTACTTCAGCAGTTAATCTATAAGAAAAAAAAAAAGTTATTTTCATTTCCCAAACCATCTCTTACTATGAGAAGCAACAGAATAAGCAGTGAAGTCCAATTATTTAAGAGGGTAACTATACTGAACACCATTCTTCTGCCTGAAAATGTGTCTGTAACCTAGTAAAAGGCATAATCTTATACAAGGTTTCAAATTATGGTGGCTAACCTGGACAAGGATCTTTCTGGTAAAAACAAATAAAAGAACTGCAGAGGAGAATCTTTAACAGTACAGATCTTCAGAGATTACACCACTCAAATAATCCATCTTCCTCAGTGGATCCTTCATTTGAACACACATACCCTGCCCACCTCCACTGGGTCCCCATATACTCAGAACAAAACACAAAAACCTTTTCAGATCAAAGAACTGAAAATAAGATTTTAAGCTTGGAAAAGCACTTATGTACTTCATTCTTTTCTTTGTATACAACAGTTTTTTTTTTTTTATCAAGAATGTAGTTGTCTGAGCTTTCTGGTTTGGAGAGACAATAGCATATGTTGGAAAAAAGCACTTAAGAAAAGCTAATATTCAAATATTGACTCCACCATCCTATACATATGACCCTGAACAACTTCCATGTCTTCACCTCTCTAATCTTAGGTTTCCTTTATGTAAGAGTAATACTTATGCAGCTGTGTAACTGAGATAATACATGAAGGTAGTAGACAGAGAACCAGTTTTCTCTCTTTGCATTTAACACTGAAAGACCAGCAAATAGGCTGGGAAGAGTGGAGTTTTGTTTGGCAATGTGTTTAGTATTTGGTCTCAACTGTGAATTGTTGTTTCATCATCCTCTATGAATTCCAGTAATCTACTTAAAAAATCTTCTAATAAGCTCAGGAAACTACACTACAGTACTCTGTTCAAGAGAGTCCAGGTAAGCAGAAGAGTATTATCATTCAGTGTCGTTTTCAAAAATGTCTTATTAGTAACATATACCTCCAGGAGGAACATGAAAAATGGAGGGGAAGGAAAACCACATTCCCACAACAAATCTTCGGTAGATGATTACTTCCTAAACATCCTGAAATGTCTGCTAAGACACGTAGCCTATTCATCTGAAACACAATTTCAAAGTTAAGTTATAGAAGATCTTTTAGAGAGGTTAACTTCAGGGATAAAATGTTTAATGAACTTACATTAGGTCAGGTTGATACTTTCACAACATAAAGAAAATGGGAATCTGCATGATGTACAATAAATTAACACTCATTAGAAGAGTTCTGTTAGAGTCAAGTTCTATGTATCATTAAAATGGGTACTCAATGTTTCTGTGCCTTGTTAATGAAACCAGGAATCAGCAGAGTACAAAAATCATTTAGACTGAAGAGTGGCCCAAAATAATATTCCTGCAAAATGCAAAGTAGTTTTTGACATTATTTAATCTTGTTCCCCACTCCTTGTCCATGTAAATATTCCCTTCCTATCTGTAGTGGGTTCAACATTGTTCCCCCCAAAATTCGTATTCATCCAGGACTTCAAAATGTGAACTTACTTGGAAATAGGGTCTTTGCATATGCAGTTAGTTAAGGATCTCAAGATGAAATCATCCTGAGGGCGCCTGGGTGGCTCAGTCGGTTAGGCCTCTGCCTTTGGCTCAGGTCATGATTCCAGGGTCTTGGGATCAAGCCCCATGTCGGACTCCCTGCCCTGTGGGAGCCTGCTTCTCCTTCTCCCTCTCTGATGCTCCCCCTGCTTGTGCTCTCTGGCTCTCACTCTCAAATAAATAAATGAAATCTTAAAAAAAAAAAAAAAAAAAAAATCCTGGTTTTAGGGTGAGTCCTAAATCCAATGACCGGTGTCCTTATCAGCAGAATACAGGACACACAGAGACATAAAGAGGGGAAGAAGGCCATGTGAAGATGGAGGGAGAAACTGTGAGTTATGCAGTCAGAAGACAAGAAACACCAGGAGCCACCAAAAGCTGGGAGAGGCAAAGGAAGATTCCTCCCCAGAACCTTCGGAGGGAATATGGCCCTGCCCCCACCTTGATTTTAGCCTTCTGGCCTCCAGATCCATGAGAAAAAAAAAATTTCTATTGTTTTAGAGTTATCCTCTTTATAGTAATTTGTCATGGAATCCCTAGAAAATTCATGTGACATATAAACTACAAAATCCAGTTCTCAAAGAAAATATTAGCAGGTACCATAGAAAAATGTCCCAAAGAGATCTGATGAATGTCTTAGCAAACAGAATCAATAAGTGCAAAGAAAGCAATTAATCAATAAAAGACTTGACACAAGAGAATAAATGTTCAGACTTTCAAAATAACCAATTTATTATAAATAAGAACAGCAAAATCATTTTAAGATTTTTAAAAATTTTAAGTACAATATACCCACCCCAACATGGGACTCAAATTCACAACCCCAAGATCAAGAGTTACATGCTCTACTGACTGAGGCAGCCAGGCACTCCCAAAATAGTAAAATCATTTTATATACCAATGACTATTGCCTCCTATAGTGGTACTGACAACAAATAAGGAATCATTTTGAATTTTACATCATGAGGCAAGCGTGATTTAAAAAAAAAAAAAAGCGACTAAATACCAATTTTCAAAATGGCAGTTGACAGGTACATTCAGGAAAGTGTAACTTCATATATCAGGCTATCAACTTGAGTTCTGCTGAAAATCAAGGTATTTCTGCATTCCACTCAGTTCTACTTACATATACATATATATGATAGCAACATACACCTTTCTTAATAGCAGAGAATCTTTTTTAAATTAACATAAATGTATTATTTGTTTCAGGGGTACAGGTCTGTGATTCAACAGTCTTAATGTAATATCCAGTGCTCATTACAACGCATACCTCCCCAGTGTCCATCACCCAATCACTGCAACCTCCTGCCCACCTCCCCTCCAGCCACCCTGTTTATTCCTAAGATTAAGGGTGTCTTATAGTTTGTCTCCCTCTCTGGTTTCATCTTGTTTCATTTTTTCCTCTGTTCCCCTATGACCCTCTGCCTTGTTTGTTAAATTCCACATACCAGGAAGATCATATGATAATTGTCTTTCTATGACTGACTTATTTCACTTACCCTAATACCCTCTAGTTCCATCCACATTGTTGCAAATGGCAAGATTTCTTTTTTTTTTTTTTGATGGCTTAGCACAGAATCTTCTAAGTTTTAAATACCTAATAAAATTAGTAGAGAGGGACTTTTTTTTTAAAAGGTACAATACCAACATCAATACAATGGACAAATAACTGAGCTCTTACGATATGCCAGGAACTGGACGCCTGGGTGGTTCAGTGGGTTAAGCAACTGCCTTCAGTTTGGGTTATGATCCTGGAGTGCCAGGATTAAGTTCCGCAAATGGCTCCCAGCTCAGTGGGAAGTCTGCTTCTCCTTCTGACCTGCCCCCTTCTCATGCTCTCTCTCTCAAAATAAATAAATAAAATCCTAAAAACAAAAACAAAACAAAAACACAATATGCCAGGAACTATTTTAAGTGTTTTATTCTTTTTCTTAAAGTTTTTTTTTTTTTTTTTTAATTTGAGACAGAATGAGAGCGAGCACAGAGGGAAAGGGAGAAGCAAACTCCCCACTGAGTGAAGAGCTAAACATGGGACTTGATGTCAGGACCCTCATACCATGACTTGAGCTGAAGGCAGACACTTAACCACCTGGGCCACCCAGGTGCCCCTTAAGAGCTTTAAATGTATTAATTCGGGTGTGCCTGGGTGGCCCAGTGGGTTAAGCCTTTGCCTTTGGCTCAAGCCATGATTTCAGGATCCTAGGATGGAGTCCCGCATAGACTCTCTGCTCAGCAGGGAACCTGCTTCCTCCTCTCTCTGCCTGCCTCTCTGCCTACTTGTGATCTCCCTCTCCTCTCTATGTCAAATAAATAAATAAAATCTTTAAAAAGAAAAAAATTAATGTATTAATTCTTTTATCCTTACAACAATTCTATGGATGCAGATACCTTCATTATATCCATTTCACTGACAAGAAAACCAAAAAACACTGAGAACTTCCTGGGGTGATGGAAATGTTCTATGTCATAACTATGGCAGTGGTGGTTATGTGCTTAATACACATGTCAATTGAACTACTGGGTATTTAACCCAAAGATACAGATGTAGTGAAAAGAAGGGCCACATGCACCCCAATGTTTATAGCAACAATGTCCACAATAGCCAAACTGTGGAAAGGGCCAAAGTGCCCTTCAACAGATGAATGGATAAGAAGATGTGGTCCACATACACAATGGAGTATTACTCAGCCATCAGAAAGGATGAATACCCAGCTTTTGCATCAACGTGGATGGGACTGGAGATTACACTAAGTGAAATAAGTCAAGCAGAGAATGTCAGTTATCATATGGTTTCACTTATGTGTGGAACATAAGTAATAGCATGGAAGACATTAGGAAAATGAAGGGGAAAATGAATGGGGAAAAATCGAGTGGGAGATGACCCAGGAGAGACTATGGACTTCAGGAAACAAACTGAAGATTTTAGAAGGGAGGCGGTAGGGGGAACAGGTGAGCCTGGTGATGGGTATTAAGAAGGGCACGGATTGCATGGACCACTGGGCATTATACACAAACAATGAATCATGGAACACTACATCAAGAACTAATGATGTACTGTATGGCGACTAACACAATACAATAAAAAAATGCGAAAAAAAAGTAACAATGAAAATCCTATTTAATAAATATTTATAGTTCTTATATTAGCCAGGTTCTAGGAAATGAACAAAACCGAGCTAAACAAACAGGCAAAAATACTTAGTATCATAATGCTTCCAAGCTGGTGAAGTTTTTGTTGTTGTTGTTGTTGTTGTTGTTTTTTTTAATTAAAAACTCAAACAATCCCTGTCCCCTGAGCTTCTGACTTATATCTAAAACTGCCTGCTTAGGAAGAAAACAAATGAACACTGGGTTTAAAAAGGTAAGGCAAAACCAAGAAACAGACTCTTAACCTTAGAGAACAAACTGACAGTTACTAGAGGGGAC